TAGTTTCTTGGATTTTCAAGCGGGGATTCGTTCTTGCAAGATCCAATCGGAGACCTCGTGCCGGGGCCTGCTTCCAATTGTGTACAACTCCAAGCTTCGAAACAACTGCATAGCTTTCGCCGGATTTCAGAAGGAAATACATTTCCACTTTCTAGGTGCAGGAGGGGCTCTCATTTTGCCGCAAAAATCTTTTCTTTTAGTAAATTCCCCTTTCTATTTTTGCAGTGCAGTGAAGTTTGCGCTTGGAACAATGACATTGCCTTAGCAAAAATTAGGAGTATTTCAGCTTAGGTAAAGCTCCTGCTGTCCATGAGTTTTGAAACGAAGAGGAAATAGTTCTTCGAGAAGGTGAGCAAGCGTCCAAGCTACAGCTGTCAGTACGATACTTTTTGATTTTCTAAGGAAAAATCTTTCGCAGCAGACCAGCTAGGGTGATCTGCTCTGTTAATCCTGAGTCTTGTTAAAATTGTTTGAGATAGGTGAAATGAGCAGTTTTGAAATGTTAAATGAATAAGTTGGGAAATTATGGGTGAGGCAGAGACACCTCCATATTTTAGTTGACTCAGTCTGCTTTAAAAATTTCTTCCTGAAAGAATCAATATGTATTACTCTGTAGACAAACGAGGGTTCGAGCACTTACTCATCCTTTGAAAGCATTGGTTTTCCTATATTTTTGTCTATAGAAATGGGATATTTTGCTAGGAGTATCATCTTTCCATGAACAACATGAAACTGATTTGAGCTCTGTTCCGCGTTGAGGCGGTGCTCAAATTGGGTACAGCTGGAATAATTTGGCATTTGTCCTGAGTGTTGACTAAAGAAATGAAAGCGTGGGCAAAAGTCTATCGAAATGGGAGACTTTTCAATTATGGTATATCATTTTTTTGCGCCTGAAGAGCGTTTCTTCCCAAAATCCGACAAAATCTAACCTTCGCGTTCTGGTTCATCATTTTGCCCCCTTTCTAGAGCGAATATATTTTGGTTTTTCTGTGCTTACGAAACCGAAGTGAAAAGGCTTTAATATACATAAGTAGTACTTCTTGACAATCACATTCGAGTGAGTTCGAAAATTTTTCTTTTCAACAAAGAGAGATACGCTATTGAATGGATTGAAAACTATAATCACATCATTCTGAGACTCTTAGAGCATCAATGTTGACTATTCGATCCTATCTTTAATCTATTGTCAAAATCTAATTATTAGTAGAACTGAAGGTTGCTAATGAAAAAAGGTAATCAATCGTAATTGCAATTGTGTATGCGATGACACATGAATCTATAAAACGCTAATCCCAAACCTGTTCCCCATATTTGATTAGCGATCTTCCGGAAGAAGTTAAAGGTATTTTTCTCTGTCAAAAATGGCTAAAAAATGCTCAAAATTTTAACATGGGTCCAAAACAACAATGCAGGGGCTGAGTATTGATCGTGTAACTGTTTTTAAAAAAAAATAATGCCTTGCTTCGTTAGGTTGAATTGATGCATTGCAGCAATTATCTACGCCCTCTGCAAGTTTTGTGTTGGAGAAGCTCTCACTTGGTTTTACAGATACGAAAATCAGATTTGAAATCAACGTTATGTGCTATATTACTTGTATATATGGTTTTTGTTTACTATCAGTTGTTAAGTATCCTCCTTTGTACATAAATTCCCGTTATTAATGTATTGATCATTAAAAAGTGCATCTCACCACTTTTATGAGGCAAGAAAGGACTAAAAATTATGAGGATAAACGAATATTGAAAACAGTACTTCACTCCATAACTAAAATGAAAGTTGGAATCAAGGCGAAGTAGAGATTACCGCATCTACAGAAAGAGCATTTTGGTTTGTTACTTAAGCACAATAAAAGCACAGTATTTCACCTTTTCCGTAATGCATGGTGCAACATCGTGACGCATTGCGAGACACCACTCTGGTAATTGCTCCGCCTTCGGTGTCGCTTTATTGTCCAGCACCGTCATTTCCTTTGCATTCTCGTAGCAGTCGTTGTAGATTTGCATCAAAGTCTGACGAAAGGCATCCCTGGATCAACAGCAAAACTTCTGTCATACAACTAACTTTTGCATGCGCTGTATGAGCAATTGCGAGTACGACAGGGATGAGCGGAAAGGCGACCGTCATGTCCTGTATGTTAGTGAGAATGATCCTTCCCTTTTGACGAGGATGTTTTGTTGATATGCCCATCTAATTCTTGTAAAGATCATTAAACGCTAAGTGATCATATTTGCCGTCTACTAAGTATCTTTTAAGCTCCTACTATGCTTTAAAGACGGACGTCAGCAAATATTAAAGTTATGTGAACTGCACCTGGAAGTTTATAATGAACGACCTACTCTAGAGCTGGATGAGAAAGAAGAAGGGGTAGTGCGAGGGAGCATGCAAACGATTGAAGGCCCTAGTCGTGATTTTTGAAATTAAATCGGATCTTTGTCTGTTTGGCCTTTGATTTTTGAACAGAACTCTGCTGGACTTAAAGTCAGATCTAGAAAAATTAGCGTAACATAGCTTTCTTCTTAGTTAGAATCATTTTTGTCTTGTCCTGGCCCTCCAAGCCCCTCTAGCATCTTATGAATTTTTGCACATCGTACAAGTTTTGGTTACTTTATACCTTTTCTTTTCTTACCTAAATAGCTAGCACATATATCTGCTTCTCATGAAAATCTAAATGCATGGATCTGTCACGGTTCTGTGAAGAAATGTGATCTAGGAACATGCGGTTAGTTGCAATGTGTGATGAAAAAATCGAAAATGAAAAAATCATCCATTATGAGAGTTGAGACCTTAGCGTTGCCAGCTCGCATATAACTTAGATGATTCGATCTCATTATTATCTGTAGACAGATGCTATATTATGGGATGCATCGAGTAAGAATTTTTTAAACAGGATGTTCATAAATTTCGTATTTTGCCCGCTGCTATGTACCTGGAAGCATAAAAAACTCAGCACGCTGCCTAAACTAGCTTCAAAAGGAATTAAAATTACTAAAAAAAGCGAACCGAACAAACCAGCTCGCTTCAACACACACAACACAAACCTTAATATTTGCACCTACTAGCCGTGGCCCCGTGTGATCCACTGCATCACTGTGGCGCGCAGACGTGAGTGTCAAACTGCACCATAGCGAAGTTTCATCCTCCGGCGGGATGCTGCAAGAGGAGTCCGATGTTTTAGACTTTCCGGATGCCCAACTAAAAGTAAACTCTGCTAGGAATGTCTGCTCGTCGGCCATTGTTTCCTGATTTACTTAGGTCACTGGTCACTCATGGTGAAAGCTTAGCACTCTCCGACAAGGCTGCTAAGTTTGCGCAAAAAGTTCTACCGCTTGTACAGCGTGTATATTTAGACAGTTACGTATCGAACGAGGCATGTTAACGACCCCGCTGTTGAGATTGTCTTATGCTTTGTACTTACAACGCTAGGCTTTTCACCAACGACGACTTCCACATTTTTTTT